TGTGCACGTTGGGGTCCAAAGTTGCTGAGAGCTTTGTTAGGAAATAGGTCCATGTGTATCTCAAGCCAAGCGGATCCTGGGAGCTAAGCAAGTCCTCTCTCCTAGCCTGTCTCACAGGGTACTGGGTTTTTCTCTTGAAGTAGTCCAATGTGCTCCTTGACCCGATAAGTCATATGACCAGATTTTCTAGACACTTACTCCACCAGGATAAGAATGGGATTAGCTTTGTAATTGACTTTAATAAAAGAAAAGGGGGGGGAGAATATGAGGTGAGGGAAAAGGTGGGGGATGAGGCAGGAGGAAGCGGGGGAGAGGGAAGGGAAATGGGATGAGGTAGTGTGATTGGGATTAGAGCTACAAAGCCTAGAATATTTACTCTACTTCTAAAAAAATTGGCTGGCTTCTGATGTAGAAACTTTTTATGAAGAGGAATGAGGGATTCAGCGTATCAGAGTTTCAATCTCAGCATTCACCAAATAATTCCCAAAAGTGCATATAACTTTAAGACTGGTGTGGCCAATGGTAGCTTCAGGCCTCCATGAACAAAGCTAGTGTGCACACACATATGTACACAAACATACACACAGGAAGAAATAAAATAAACACCTTAAAAAGAGAAAGAGAAACAGTAGGGAGATTTTAATTTATTAACAGAATGGGAAAGAATCTGAAACTGGGAAGAAACAAAATATCCACCACAATTAAGGTATAAAGAGCTAAGAAATGGAAAGCTCTTCAAATGGAGAGGAGGTATGAGTCTATCAGCCTTCTGCAATGCGAGCACTTAACTTGAAAGTGATCCACGCTGTGTAAGCTCCTCCACAGCTGAAGCAATCAGAGAGCATGCCCAGTTCAGCCGTTTCTTTGGGGCTTAGTTTGAGGCAGCTGTGAATCGATGCTGGGGATTGAACCCCAGACCTCAAGCGTGTTACGTGCGTGCTGTCCAGTGAACTGCCCTCACAGACATCATCTGATCTTGAGAAAGCAGGGAGCTTAAAGGGCCTTTAGTTCCAGAGCCCGAATCTTAAGTCTGGGTCTTCCATTATGGAAGACACCTGAACACAGTGTTTTTCTGATTGTTTTTTTTTCCATTTTTAGATGATGTTACAGTAATACTTACCACTTACGGTTTCTTTTAGAATTAATAAATTGTCAAGGAACTGAGTAAATTGGGAGCATGGGGACCTTGGGAGAGGGTTGAAGGAGAGGGGAGAGGCAGAGAAGGAAGCAGAGAATAATGTAGAGCTCAATAAAAATCAAGAAAAAAAGTTGACAGATGTACTCAGTGCATAGGAGATATTATGTGTTCATATATATTTACATCACAACCCTAACTAAATACTACCACAAATGCATATAGTGTAGCTAGTGCTCTTAGGATTGAATCAATAGATTCTACAGTGTCCTACCTGGGGATAAAGGTATAAAAGGGATGATTAATTTCACCTGCCTGTGAACACATACCCTAAATCTGTGTTTTTAATCCTCACTGCAACTCTAAGAAATAAGTCCTCAAGGCATTCAGGAAAGGACAGATGAATTCAACATATCAAGTTCAACCCAAACGAGTCAGGCTATAAGGTCTGCAAGATTTGTTAGACTACAGGAGAGGAAAGTAACAAGAAATAAACGTTCTCTTTCATGGAATGTTTAGTCTACCTTGGAGGCAAAGTGAAGAATTCTGTTTTGATTAATTGTCTGTATAATAAAAAAATGGAACTTTTTAAAAAGCAAGTGAACTCCATGTACTTTGGTTTTTATTAAAAAGCTTTCCTGAAAAAGGAAGTACTTTCATATGGTTACATCTCCCAAACGGGAAGGTGTGATTCCAATTAATTGGAGTTTCTAAGTTGTGTGTGTGTGTGGTGTGGTGTGTGTATGGTGTGTGTATGGGATGTATGCGTATGTGATGGAATCACAAGTGTGAGCATTACTCTTGTCCTTTACTTGGGTCCTGGGGATTGAACGCAGGTCCTCAGCTTGCACCTCAAGCACTTTACCAACTGAGCCATCTCCCCAGCCTGAGTTCTGAAATTCTAAGTCTCTACTCTTTTAGCTAGTCATTAGGCTCCATGTACGCATGCAAACACAAATATACACTATACAAAAATACACTACAGTAAAAATGCATTCACGCACAGTGCGCAGGTTCCTCTTTCCAAATGAACTCTACCTTACCTAGTTACAAATGTGTACAGTATTTATGCTAAAAGCCATGTCTAACAAATGAGCTCTTGTATAGTCTAATGTATTCAGGATGAGCATATAAGAAACTGTAGATGACTTATTTCTGCATCTGATAATAATTTAGACATGCATGAAGATTTTCCAAATAAGTTGAAGGGGGGAAACATGCGAACTTTCTGTCATCTTCCAGAGCCAAAGACTTTGAAAATAAAACAAGAGAAGTAACTTCCTTTTCCTCTGCAGGCAGAGGGGGTTGGGGGTGGTCTTCTGTGTACTCTTTAACAGTGATCTAGACAATGCTACCCACAGTAAACTACCCATTTTGGTAAAAAATATTCTAATTTATTGCACTAACAAACTACTACTGGTTATGAACCTTCATCATATTACATCATCCTCAATATATACATACTTGGCTTTATTTATTTCAAGATGCAATAGTACTTATTGGTGGCTATTATTTAGTCTCTGGGAGTTTATAAAAATGTGTCTTTGTTTTTTTCTCTGTTATTTTGAAATTTAAATTGGCCATATATAGGATAGCCTCAATTTTATTTGTCCTTCCAGACTTCCAAAGGTGCCAGAATGTTCTGAACTCCAAGCTCTGACAGACAGGAGTATCTGGCGGGGAAGGTGCCGGGGGGTGAGGGGGTGGACGTTGCCATAGTAATGGGGCTGTCAGTGTCTAGCTCTACTTAGAGGAGAATGTTATGGGTTTTGTACTCAACTAGAATGATTTAAAAGTTGGCCAGACCGTTCCGAGATGGAAATTGAAAATAGAAAACACATACCCAAACAAGAGATAATTGCAATATTGGCTGAATTATTGTGTGTGTGATATATAATCAGTACTCAAAAGACGAAAACTGTACCCTGGAAGGGGCAAGGAAGGTAGTCACCATGTAGAAGACATTGCCCAACTGAACTCACTTCTGGTGCCTTCACTTAGACCCCTGGACCTGCCACTCTTGATTCTCTCCCTTTAGTTCCCTGGCTGAGCTCAGAGGTGTAAGTTCTCCCAAGCAACTGATTCGGTGTCCCAAGGCACACGGTGCAAGTGCAGCCACTCTTGAGGGAAAGCCACAGCGACCATCAGTACCAAACCATAGATCTCTGAATCCGTGGCAGAGAAAAATTAGTTGCTGCCCACCACATAGAAAGTGCGGCTAGAGAATAAAAGACCCCCAAGGAAAATGTAGCTCTGCTGTGCCCCGGGCTAGATTGGCCCTGTCTTATATCTACCAAGGATGCTGCATTTGATGCCTTCAAGAAAAAGATTTCAGAACAGCCTTCCGCAAAGCAGGGGTTCATGGAAGCAAAAATGGCTTTCTATTGAGCTTAGATGAAAGTGTTATTCCCCCCGTCAGGGTACTTTTAAATTTCAGGGCAAGGCAGAGCCTAGGGGGCGGCTCTGTTTGTAACATATGACACAGACAAGATATTTTGTTCTGACGAGCATGTCATCACAAGTGTGAACGTCAAATCCCTTCTGTGCCTTCTTTCATCTGGCTCCCCTGCCCTCTGCCCCCCACCCAGTGGGTCTTCAGAAAGATGTGATCAGGGCTCTTCTTTGTTTTGGTTTCATTTTGTATATGGTAAGCACCAAGTAGAGGTTTCTGAAGAACCAGTTCATTTCACCCTAACCTTTGCGAGGAAGAGACTTTTAATATTTTCTTCTAAACATTTATCTGATTTCTCTTACAGTGAAATGGGTCACAAGGTCATTTCCAATAAAGTAGAATGTGCTGGAAAAATGTTGAATTCCTTGATTAAAACTATTTTCCATTCACCTAAACTTTTGAGTGTTTTGTGGAAAAATAATATTCTCTATTAAAATAAAAAAGAGAAAATAATGTAATGCAGGAATGCTGAAAAAAGAAATAAATTTGATCTTCAGCTATTTGAGATTAAAAACATGTTCATTTGAGATATAGAGAGCTTTCCAGTTTCAGAAAAATCGATTAAAATGTCCCAAGTAGGATACAGATATGCATGTATAGGATTTGCATGTTAAATATTTAGAGTTCTTCCACAGAAATACGACTGGAAAGAATAGCATCATTGCTACCCTTTGACTCTAAAGTATTCATGTTCCTTATTGCCTAAAATCTGTGCTAACTGATGGAGAAGTAGCCACATTGACATTCTGCTTTCCACATTGCTGTTTTCAAATGGCACTCTACTCCTCGGTGCTTCCAGCCCACTCCACAAAGGTGTGGTAGGAAGAGTAGGTCTTTGGGTACCACAGTTATCCAGACCAAATTGATGCCATCAACCTCTGAACTCTATGGGTTTAGGCAAGTATTCTTCTCTGAGACTTGGCTGTCTTTGGGTGTAACCGTACTACACTGCTAGATTATTATTAAAATAAAAATGACATTTGTTAACAATTTACATGGGAGCCACAAGTGGAAAACAGTCAATCATTTTATTTTCTCGTTATTTATCACTCTAGTCAATTCATCTTCTGCTTTTTCTCTCTTCTTGGAAGCGCCTAGAATGAAAATATTACCTTTGTAAGTGTCATTGTGAATCTATATATAAATTGCAGAGGGGATGGCTCACCTATAAAACTTGAGATTTCTAGAGAAAAGTCTCTCATTTCCAAACTGTATGTAAGCAATGCTTTTAGCCAGACATTTGCATCTAGTGATACGACGATCAAGGATCATTTCCTTTATAGGACAAAGGCAGCTCAGAACGCGCCCACGTCAGTTCTTCACTTGGTTTACCCCCAGTCTCTTCTGTATTTCTCCAATCTTTCAACAATCCACTGAAAGAAATTAGAGCGAATACTAAATGGCCCAGGGTCATTTCCATCAAATATGATTTATTTAGCAATCATGGGTAGTAGGAAATACAGAGTACAGCATAATAAAAACACAAGAATCGTAGGCTGTCATGTGAAAAATGCAAAGTTCTGGTGAAATGAAAAGGCAGATGAACTTGCGAGTGTAGGGTCGGTAGCTGTGACTGAAAACGCAAAGCCGTTGCAGCAGCCTATGGAGAGAGACAGTCCTGCCTCACAGTGTGGCCTCACATACACTATCTGCAGAGGGACAGCACTCGGGGCCTTCAGTCTGACGTGTCCAGCAGGACTGGTCCTCCAGAGAGAACAAGGAAGGAAGGCGTGCAGAAGGCCAAAGGCAGATAGGGAGAGTGGGGATAGGAAGAGGGGGAAGAGGGGAGGAGAGTAAGTGTGCCAGGCAGTGTGAGGGCTCTGAGGAAGTGTGTCTCCCCAAGCCCCCCTGCGAGTCAGTCACAGTGCTCTGTAAGTCACTCTGACAATGTGGATAGCACACACACTGACCAATGGGCGTATCCTTCCGTGTATATTACCCAAGCACAGAGACTAAAGGAACAGAGTGGATGTGTTTTCTATGCCACGAGGGGAGCAGGGTTACAACTTATTCGTCCCTCCGGAGATTCTAGCTTTGCTTAAAGACAACTGGCTCAATTAGGAACAAGAGTAATTAGATTTCTTAGACTCTCAGATTCTACTGTAAAAGCAGAATATTTTCTAGATGGCAAATATATAGATTTTTTTTTAAGAAAAGAGGACATTAAGAGCAATAGTTACAGTTTCTCCATAAATAGAAATAAAAAGTCCATTTTAAAGGACAAAGGCTACCATGATGCACATTTTCTATAAATCTTGTCAACCCATCATTATAGATCAATTTTTACTGCTGACATTTAAAATGTCCATTACATTCTAATGTCTATGATACAGTTCAATTATTTACCTGTGATCGGCACACGATTTGGACAATACTAACACCAAGAGTCTAATTCACAGAACATTCAAAAGCATTTTATACAGTCTACACACAAATATATCTTAAGTTACAATAATGCATACTAAATATGCATAGAGAATATGGCTTGCACATTAAAATAGATCTAGGTTATAAAGACCGTCACTACGTAGGCTTAGAAGCTTCTGGTCAGGTCCTTCTCTGAAATATTGCTTAGCCATGTGGAACCTGGGGGAATGCCGGTGCAAGAAGCAACTCATTAGGATGGGCAAACCCAGCTGCACGCCATTTAATTGACAGTTACTCTTGATTCTTTCCACCCACTTTCCACTGTTCATGAAGCTCACAATCCAGGAAAGGTATGGACGGTGAGGAACTACAACATCCTATCGGGCTTGACCGTTCTTGTTAGCCAAAAACAAGTGAAGGCCCTTAGGGCGAGGAAAGGCTTCACACATGCTCAGGCAAAACACCAAGAAGCAGAGCCTCGGAGGGCTGCAGTTCATTTCTGTTCAGCAAAATTAAGAAGTCACATCAAATAATGTAAGCTATACGGAAAAGCATGAGTTTCCATTTCCATATACACCTCTGAGCATGAGTACACAGACCTACAGCACACACGCACACGCTTACACACACACGTACACACACACAATCTCTCTCTCTCTCTCTCTCTCTCTCTCTCTCTCTCATCTCTTATCCATTCGCCTGTAATGTATTTTTATATCCTAATGGGATCAACTCCCAGAAGGGAAACGCTGTTTTCCCTTCAAGTGCCTGTCTCCTGCCATGACCGATGCTCCCTGTTACTGTGGACCGAGAGCAAGCTGTGACCTGCAATGTGACCACACACATGGGGTACACATTAGTGCTTTAAAACCACAGGGATGGTAACAGGATGATCTTCCATCTTCAGCAGAAGGCGGCACTGTCGCTTCCCAGCCGGAGATACAGTCACTGGGTGGCAGCTGTCATCATGGTCAGTTGCTGCTGGGACTTCACAAACCGCCGAGCAACCTCGATTCTCCTGTTCCCATGCCTTTAAAAGAAGACAGTCTTACCACACCAGCCTTGCGAGGAAACCCCGTTTTCCATCATTTTGGGTTGGTTTTGACTTGGTTCTCCGTTTAAACTATAGCAGCACGCTGAGTGACGAGTGCAAGAAGTGCGTTGGGAAACAGGTTGCCTTCCGCACGAGTTGAAAGTGATAGAAGTTTGAAACTGTTCGACTTTCAATCTTAAAAGATTTCTTCTCTGGCTTGATCCAAGATGACCGAATTAGGGATGGAAAACAGTGGCCAGAATCCTAGTCACAATTCACGGGGACTTCTTTGCCCAGTCGTTAGACTGAAATGTATGCTCTCATTCCTTACAGAGAAGTCCACTAAAATGGCTTGAGCAAATGAATGTTCAAAGAAGAGACTATAAGTTCTTTAGAAAGTCAAGGACTTTTCATGGGTTTTGTGCTGCTTTCGTTTCCCTGAAATAAAAATCAAATGAACATGACATCAGAGAAGGGATGGGAAGGTAGGCTGGGTATTTGTTGGCTAGAAGATACAAAACCTCAGATCACAGAAATAAACTCAGGAAATATAGTTACAAGTTACAGTAAATGATAATGTACTGTATTCTTGAAAAATATTGAGCGTTGCTTTTCCCCAGACACCAAAGAGCAACAAGTGTAGGAGGGTTATACATTTAATATTTAGTTCAATATATCATTCCATAAAGACTATAGACTTCAAAACAAGTTACATGCAATAGATACACATTTGGGGAACTAAAAGTAAATCAGGGAAGAATAGAGAGCTTCATTTAATCTATGTAAGTGTTAGCTACTGAGTGGCAGTTTCACATAGGACTCATACACTCTATCAGAAATAAGAGATTTAGCATTTTGAATAGTTATTTGTTTTGTCTGAATTATAATTCCTTCCTAGATCTGCTCTGTAGGCCTGTGTGTCTGCAGTGGGTCTTTTTCATACACCGAACAGTCATTTCAGGGAACACACTGTTGGCTTGCATTCTCTACAGATGTTTTGGGAATACGTTCATAAATATTGCAGACCTGTACCATAAATGTTTATAAAATGCTACCCAAAGGTTTTCAGTCTTTTTTGTGTGCATGTGGTGATATATAATAATCATTAGGTTGCAAATGTCCTATTGGAAAAAAGTCTTGCTATTTTTATAGGAAAATAATTATGCTTATTTGTTTTTTATGATAGTTACACCCCAGCAAAACTTTTTGTTACTTAAAACATCTATAATAGCCTACTGTGTTTGTTTTCTCAAAAATATAATTTAAAGGTTCTCTCAGGTATCAGCAGGACCCAATAATTCATCTTTTTAAAATAATACTTTTATTTTATTAATTCTTTGAATCCAATGTTTTTAGACCCTATTCACCTTAAATGGCCAGGATCTCTCTCTAAAGATGTGCAGTCTGTGTGGAAAGTGTGGGGAGTCATTGTAACTGTTACTATCAATGTTAAATAGAGAAATGCTAAAGATCCACTTGGTGATGTGATTTATTTCCAAGCTTCATGTATAAAACAGGAATCACAACCATCATGGGATGCTTGACATAACATATATAAGATTTTCACCAATGAGAGTCTCTCCACAAATTTTGAAGAATTTATCTTAAAAGCCAAATCAGAAGAGTCAATGACAACATGTCATCTTCAGCATTTTCCCTCGCTCTGATTACTGTACGGACACCAATACTCCTTATAACACTTGGGTTTTGTTTCACATGCATTTTCTTGTAAACTATAAGATATCTGCATTACATACACCACCCTTTTTCATTTTCTGTTTCTTGCGTGTCCTTCCAAGGCGATAATTCTTTTTTAATGGTCATTAGTATTAGTATATCATCTCCTTAAAACTTCATATTTCTACAGCATCATTCCTAGAGTAGCAATTTGGCGACTGAAAACAAGTCCTACTGGGCATTTCTAAAAACAAGTGCCATCATTGTCCACAGATTTCTACCAAACAAGATTTTTATGTTTGCCATCAGGAACAAAGTCACATTTCTTGTATAAGATAAAAATAGACGTCAGCATATAAATAGTTCCCATATGTCATAGAAGAAGTAATATCTTCTCCCACTATAGGGATTTCTTTACTGGAATCTTCTTCATAAACCCTATAAAATATTGCTTTTATCCTTAAAGAATTAAGACTCTAATCTCAGTAAATAAAAACTGTGTTGATGATTTTTAAAACCTAGTTGATAAAAAAAAATCTCTAAAAGCCCAGAAAAATATTTAAATGAGGTCCTGTGTCTCTAATGGTGTTAGAGAAATTAGGTTTTTTTTTGTCTACAAAGTAAGATTACCTCTTATGTTTAAAACAACTGAACTCTTAAAGTTTGTTCAGACTTATGGATGGGTGTCAGCACGGCTTTCTTCAGCATCTCCTAAGTCTTCCGTGTTCTTATGAAGATCAAGCTCACCTAAAACAGCAAACAAACAGATGAGACAAATTATCCTCTGGGGGAAAAGAGCTCACGCGCTAGCTGATAACACTTTGTGAAGCGTTAAAGACTGGGCTTTAAAACGCATTTTTAGTGTGTTTCTCCAAAGATGCGCTTATTGTTTTCAGCCTGGAGGTTTGCAGAGTACAAGAACATGTCTTCCAATGGTTACTTAACCTTTGAAGTTGCAGCGTAGTCTGGGAACACAGAAATGAAATCCATGAGAGAAGCATCTATTAAATCATACATAGAACTGCATTGTTTTCATGGGTATTTCTCTTACTGAAACTAATTTTAAATAAATGCTAATGAGATATGTCGTTAACGACTTACTGACTAGCTGCTATGAATTTAAAACAGACTAAATGGATATGAGAGACTAGTGACATTTCAAGTAAAAGTCTGCCCAAACAACATTTTGGAATTTATTGACTTAGAACTTTATATAAACTCCAGCTTTATATAAACCATGAAGATAAGGAAAGCATTAGCGTGCAAACTATTCCAGTGCTTCCTAAGACACTGAAGAGAATAGATCAAAAATTAAACTATAAAGTTTGAGATAAACATAAATGGATCCCCAAGTACCTCCTGGACCAGCACCAGTGCGGTACTGTTTACACTCGTTAGACAGGACAGGGATGTAGACTGACTATTCTGAGAGCGCACGGGTGATGTATCCAGATACTCCTCACTAAGTTCACCCCAGCCTGTCCACAGAACAAGAACAGGTGGCTGCCTAACATTCTCCCAGAAATTTGATGCTATATTTCCAGTTCTTGTTATATTAAATATGTTCACATGTAACCCTCTCGATGCATTTGCTCCCATAAAGCACTTGAGCAAAGTCCTTGTCTTCTCTCCACTGGCTCACTTGACTCTTCACTCTCTTGGGTAAGATTAGATTCCCAGTGTACCCTGAACTGCAAACTCTCTCCTTCCAGGGAAACTCTCTTCCACTGATTTGGAGGAGGAGGAAGCAATTCTATAACTCCATTATAGGAATCTCTTGCATGGAATTTCCTTCATAAACCCACTTCTATTTTCAGAAATTTAATATTTCATTCATTTAAACAGAGACTAAAAGGTTTATAACCGGGTTCCGTATCTTCTTTGACATTGTTCCTCATGGCTTCCTTTGCTCTCTGACATTTATAATCTTGGAGCCTTGATTTAAACTTCAGACTTAATATTTTGTTATTTAAGAGCAGATTAGAAAATAACAAAGCTGACTTTAGTAGAAAAGAAGAAATGACAGTGAAAAGAATGTAGTGAAATAAATATTTATCTCATAAAAATTAGAGAGAACATTCTACTTTTCCAAATAATCTTATCTCTAGAGAAATCTTATCAGTAAGGAAAAATGGAAGAGGGATTAAATAACAGAAACAATGCAACAATTTAAAAAGATGTGCAAATAACATCTTAGAGACATTCTGTGTGTGCAATTAGAAAAATATTAATTAAGTATTATGGCCAAGTCCATCCATACTTTGGTGACACCAAAGGAGTATCCTTTTCCCAAACTGTAAGGTTCTGGTGTTTACACACACACACACACACACACACACACACACACCACTGCCAAGTGATTTCATAGAAGCTTGGCTGCTTGTGAAAATTAGTGGCCTCATTCATTTTTAGTTGCATAATCCTTTGTGATTCACTTGGGTGTTTGATGTGTAAGTCACTTTTGGGTATACACTTCGGCATCATGCTCTTGGGAAGAAAGAAATGACTGTTTGCTAGAGGAAAACAGAGATGTGACTCCTTTAAGAGAGGCTTCCTGACTCAGCTTTAGTCTCAAAAACCTCATAGCTCCTTTAAGAGGCCCTGCCACCAAACACATAATGGTGTTTATGAGCATTCAGCAGTATGTTTCTTGGTGGTGGCAGAGACCTTGAAATTCCACAGAGTTGTGGCAATAAACATGGATCCCACCAGTACCTCTGCCATGAAGCTAGACTCTCAGAAAGCTAAGGAATGGGGTGCAGCCAGCTATCAAAGCCACAGTTTTAATCCTAGCCATGCTGCTTAGCAGATTTAAGACTAATGTGCTCAGAAAATGATAGAGATATATAGTAAAGACATATTCAGATGAAAATAACTCTAAACAGTTACAGTGTAGCTTTAAGAGCTACTTGATAAGAAGCCTGAGCTAATAGGCCAAACAGTTTATAATTAATATAAACCTCTGTGTGTTTCTTTGGGACTAAACAGCTGCCAGACTGGGTGGTACATAAACTTCCATCTACAAATATATAAATGAAATACATATAATTCAGATAGAATTCCATTTATACTACAATATCAGCATAGTAAGGGAACATAGTGACATAGTGGTCCTACATGTTCCTCTTTGGCAATTCTGTGAATGAAAAGGACTAACTGTAGTTCTACTCTATAGATGATGTTGAAGTAATAATGACATCAAACTAAACTTCAGGATATGTCATTAAATATAAAAATATTTATGATTTCTAGTTATGACAAAGATGTCACTAATATTTGCATACAATGTAGCCTACAAATGACATGCATGATAATTTGAGTTTAAAGCTAGGAAAAATAAAATATAAGATTCAAATTATAAAATGCCCTATAAGATTCTGTAAGTAACTCTAGGTTAAAATATTTCTCTGTAGAAATACCCTTCATGGGTTGTTCAAACTATTTTCAGAAGCCACAGGTTAGTAAACAAACATTCCAATGCGAAAGTTGAGGTTATACCTTGAGGTGTTGGTCAGAGAAGTTCTTAAACAATTCAGGTAAATGTCAGTGCTGTTGGTTTCCCAACAGAACTAGATCATATGACCTTACAGATGAAGATGGGAGAACAGTTTTGTTTTAGGATGGAAAAGAAGAGCAGTAACCAAGATGGTGGCTCCTCCTTTACTGGACAATGTTCATGGTACTAAGAGGTTTGCTGTAGGCTGAGGATGGAAAAGAACCATCAACACTCTATTCATCTGTGGACCCTGTATGCTACACTACCAATGACCAGACAAGGTGCCATAGTGGCAACTTATCATCATGGTAAAAGCATTTTATGACTGTAATCGAGATGCACACCACAGAAGTAAAATTAAATTGATCCTGGGGGACACAGAGTAGTTAATATATCTGTAATATGACATCATCCTTGGAAGGTAGTGGAAAGTGGGAGATCAAACATCTCATTAGAAAAAGTAGACCACTGGGGTGTGTCCTGGAAAGACGTGTATTTTCCCAGATTCCTGTCTTTATTATTACCATCAGACTGCCAGATGCATCAATTAATTCATTAATTTGGGTATTTAATGTGTAAGTCACTCTTGGGCATATAATTTGACATCATCCTTCCAGGAAGGAGGAAATGGCTGGGAGCATTCATTCCCCCAAAGATAATTTTAAATAACCTTCTCAGGAAGGCTGTATGTAAAAGAACTTGGAAGCCATCCATGGAATCAAAGGTTTCAGGCTTTTTTTAATATGATCTGGCTCCTCCTTATAGTCTGAACGAATATGTGTCCTTTTTAAAATAAAATATATAAATAAAATACATATAAATAAAATATAATTCAGAAAGAATTCCATTTACACTATAAAACAATATCAGTGTGGTGAGGGAATATAATGACACACCGTGGTACTGCATGTACCTCTTTTATATTCTGTGAATGACCAGGACTGCATATACTACTACCATATATTTTGTGTTACCTCAGCTCAAAGTAACAATTTGATTGATCTTGGGCTAAAATTGCTAAAATAATGGCTCAATAAATTTTTCCTCTTATTTTTTTTGTATGGGAGTGAAACACTGCCTGACAAAGAAACCTGGTATCAGAAGGGGAGCCAGGGTTTTGACTATTCCTAACTATGTGAGTTAGATTTTAGCACTGGTTTGTAAGGGTGAGTTTGGAACAGTGCACAACTATGAGATGGAGAAGTTCTACAGTGCTGCAGGCAGACATCAATGAGAAACTCCAATGAGAATTTGGAAGATAAAATGCCCACAGGAATAAAGAACTTAAAGATTACTCAGGAGCTTTCAGAGGAAAATGAACATTCTTTGGTGAACGGTAATAGAGACCGCTCGTGCAACACTGTGAAGAACTTGTCTGTATTCTGGTCATGCCCTAAGATTTTGTACAGCTAACTTTAAAAATGGACAGAAGAAATTTCAGTGCATTTAGACTGTAGTTTAAATGTTGCTAGCTACTTTTGGCCACTTTACAATGAAAGTGAGAAACAAAAAACAAATTTGAAGGAGGATAAAAACTTGAAAATTTCCCAGAAGATGAATATGTTCAAGGTTGAGATTAAGGAAAATGTGGTTGCTAAAGAAATAGTAAAACTAGAAAGCAGCCAAAGAGATTGGGCTGTAACTGAGAGGCAGAGTGCAGAACTAACATATACAAGGCCCTAGAGCCAATCCTCAGTTCTGAAAAATTAAGAGAAAGGAGAAATTTAGGACAAAGGAAAAAGAGGAGGGATAATAATAGCAATAAGAGTAACAATAAGCTATCATGACCAAATATTGTGTACTGAGGCAATAGAATAAGATTGGTATCTTGAGGGTATCTTGAGCAAAGTCAAAGATCTAAAGGCATAAACTTAATTGAAATATTTATTGAACATTAAAGAGTGTTGTTCTAGCATGGGGTGACCGAGGGAAGCATTTCACCTGGCTCATCACTCAGGCACTCAGAGCCTGCTGCAGACATGGCTCATGGGACCCTAGCTACTTCCTAGCTGATAGAAAATCTCTGTATCATCCATATGGTGATAGCTTTGCGGGCATGAAGAATCACGGAGGACTGGTAGGTGCATACAGTGTATAGCATGGTTGGTCCTTAGGTGCCAACTCTCAAAGTGTAACATGTGAAGCTGTGAAAATGAAGATCAACATGCTTTGAAGACTCCAGGAAGTTAGATATGTCAATAACGTGAAACATATGCTGATATGTCAATAGCATGAAACATATGCTAAGGCA